TGGGAGGAATGGTTGGGGAGCTGGGGGGAATGATCAGGGGCTGTGGGAATGAACAGGGGTTTCCCTCCAGCTCCTGGTTTGATCTCCCAGCTCCCAGTCATTCCCCCCAGCTCTCAATCATTTCTTCAGCTCCCCAATCATTCCCCTAACCCCCATGGCTTCTTCCAGGGCTGCCAGCACTGCTTGCCTCCCCCCTTTGGGGGGGCAGCCGGATGAGCTGCAGCTTCTCCTGGGGCTGCTAGCTCAAGCCAGGGCTTGTCCAACTGCTCCCCAAGCTGCTCCCACTGGTATTACCTAGTGCCTGCCTGTACAGTCGATGGCTGGATCTCTGAATCTCTCTGAATCAATTAGGAGGCTTCCTATTTGATTTGGAGAAATTAATGGGTCTCTCAATTCTTTTTGGATCCAGAGATTTGGCTGCTGAGTTGGGCTGAATCTTCTCTGAATTGAATTAGCTACCAAAGTTTTGCACAGCCCTAGTAACTAGTTGATTGCCCTGATTTCTCAGGAAGTATGAAAGCACCTCACCTGTTGTCACCTCCTTTTTTGCTCTTCCTCCAGGTTTCCTGCTTCCCCACTTACCTCAGGGCTCTTAGTACCAGTTTTCTGCAAAACCTCATCTTGTAGCTGCACAGCAAAATCCTTTAGATTATATAGATTTTATATATTAGTTCCAAAAGAGTAAAAAGTATTTACCTGAACAGTTTAATGAGACATGGATTTTTCCTCAAACTTCTATTCTCATCTCCCTTCCAACCCCCAATATGACATCAATTAATCACAGAATTGGACAGAATAGAAACAAGGAGGTCTGAATACCAATCTCTTGGTGTAACTAGTAGATTACAGTACATTAAATATCACTTGGAACAGAGACCACCAGTATTTATAATGCCCATCCACTCCTCAAACCACTGGAATTCACTTATAAAGTCACCAGTGGAATCTAAGTGCACTTCTGGTTCTAACTAGTAAATTACACAACCTCCCATCCCAGGAAAAGGAATAGGGACACAGAATCCTAACTGCCAGCCCTCAAATATTTTTGGATTTGACACACATCTATAGTCCTACAAAAAGACTGCTCTTTAAAGCTTCAGTTCTTCTGTCCCCCCATGCATTCTTTCTTTCATCCCCCAAAAAGAAGGCAGCAAGAAACTTGTGAAGAAGAAGAAAAGTGAACCCTGAAGGTAAAGTTCTTTGTAGTCCATTTTTTCAGTAGCACCCACTTAGTTCAGAACTAACACAACAGTAAGGAAAACTCCAAAATAGAAAGTGATTTATTTTTCACAGAGCTCTGACGTTGCACTGCCAAAACTCCTCCTACAAACTATGTATAATTTTTAGTGTTTTCCTGCCTTTCCTCTAATGCTTAAAATGTAATGGTCTCCAAAACTACAATGTCTCTGCTCTGTTATCTCACACATACCTACTTTCATTCAGAGACACATCTGCAGACATTGCAAAATAGTAAAATGAGTCTCCTTCTACCCAAGTTATTTCCTTTGGGGCACTTGAAAAATATTTTATCTCTATACCCCTGCTGATGGCTTGGGTAACAAAGTGTAAAGTACTGGATTTCTCAACAGAAAGAAGTAAGTTGTAAGAAATTGCCTCTTGACTGGAAATGGATTCTGTCACTTACAGTCAATCTTACACTCTTACACCATGAATAATTCATTGTTTCAACAAAGATTACTTGTGGAGTACAATACTAAACCTCAGGAAGGCTGAGGAAACCAAGCCCTAAAAATATTTCTTTAGTAGAGTTTATTGTTTACCTTCCTTTCCTCCAGTACTTAAGATGCAAGAGTAAGTGAGAAGAGAATTTGGACCTTTATGATGTGGTGAGGTTTCCTAATTTATCCAAGACGCACCTAAAAATAATTGACAAAAGAGACATTGGTGTTACTCTGTGCAGTACTTTGTACCCTTTGAAAATGTGGAACAGATATCACACAGTGAGGAATTTCTTTATGTTAATTATAGGGAAAGTTGGTGACAGAGTTACTGAATTTCTAGAATGAATAATCTCTCTTAACTTTGAAAATGAGTGGCAGGAAGAATCTTGTATTTCAGTAGATAATGCTCTATCAGTCACTCTTCTACCACCATGAGGAAAGAACAGCTTTGGAAAATGTGTTCAGTGACAAACCCAACCCTGATCACAACTCACCTACACAGGAATATCTGCCCCCAACAGTAAAGGACACCAGTGTTACTAACCCTGAACACAGAAATTTCCCAAGCATCAGAAAACTCATAAATGCCAGTAGGAAATGTGCTGAAGTTATTAGAACTGTTACTTGACAGCTTACTAATATTATGTAAAGTAAATTGACAGAAATTCCTTATCACATACATGTTGTTGCTGGGAACCCCTGCCACATGGCTTGATCTAGCAACACAAATGGCCTGATCTAGCTGGTAGCATTGCCCAGTCCTAGGCTGGAAGGTGAGGTGAAGCCTAATAGCATTGCACATATAGACCGTGAAACTTTACTTCCAAGCTAATTAGTCTACTCTACAGTTAAGCACACGTCTAGACATGGCCTGGGAGTTGGTGAACAACAGTTCCCTGGCCACTTGGTCTATACCTTTCATGATTTTATAGATTTCTATCTCCCCTTAGCCTTCTTTCCAAACTGAAGAGTGAGTTCTAGCCTTCTCTAAGACAAAGGGAGAAGAAAGAGACCCTGTAAGCTTAGACCAGGTCATTTGGTTGTATTCAACAGTCTGTACATTTTCTTGCTTATAGGGAGAAAAGGCAGACCCTAGGGAGAGGGGCCTGTTAGAGAGAAGCTTGAGGGGTGACAAGACAAGACCATGGAGGGCTGGTCTACATTTTAAAAGTTGCACCATTTTGATTTTATTTAAGTCTATCCAATTATTTAAGTTAATGTACTACAACCTTTATGGCAAATTATATAAGCTTTCCTTTTCAATAATAACAGCTTATATATCCTAGATCATTAAAAAAAAAATCAAGAGAACTTGAAATTTGCCTTCTCACCATTGACTTACTAGCCCATGTATTGGCACATGAAGTTTAATGCATTGCCAGACAGATGAATGTGGAACAACAGGGCCATCCTGTAGCCTTGAATTTATAAATACATGAGGTACCTGTTCCTGGTGGATTTCCCATGATGGCTGCATGCATTTACAGGCAGCAGTTTGAAACTAGGTGGGTCTCATAGTATTTTTCAGGTTCCTAGTGTAACAAAATCCACAGGTTTTTTTGTTTTTTTAATTTTAAAACGCATTCCCTTCTCTTCCCCAACCATTTCTGACTTTCTCTCTGCCTTCTTTGTCTCTTATAAGTGATTACAAATAATACTAGGTAAGCTAAGTTCTTGTATGCTATTATTGTAATAAGCCCCTTTTTATATTGTAAATAGTGTTCTGTTACGTTTATATTGATTTTTACTGTTTTATATTGTGTTCCTATCATTTTTGCATTTTTTTTGTTATTGTTACATATTCATATTGTATGGTTTAGGCCTGTGTCTGTAAAGTTAACCAAAGTAATGTCAAGTTTCCATTTTGTAATGTCAAGCCTCCATCTTGTGTCCCCTGCCCTATACAATATATTGCAACTGTGACTCATACCTACCCGTCCTATGTAAATTGGTTCTTGAATGAATGGGAATGAATGAGGGAGCTTGAGATATAATGGTAGCAGGCCTCTACTGAATGACCAGTAATGAATGGACAACCAACTCAGTGACTCAACCATTGCCTTGCATTGACTCACCCAGGTACCACAGACCTCACCCAGGAACAGAGACAAAACCCAGCATTTAAAAGAGAGAGAACCTATGGGAACCCAACATTTGGAAGACAAAGACCCTACAGAAACCAGCAACCCCACCATTGTATCTCACCAGACAATGAAGACACCTGGATCTGCATGTATGCACCTGAGCAGGACTGGTCCTTGCCTGGGTATGTCCTTCCCATAGGAGACACAGGTAGCCCACTCCTATGAAAGGGGTGGTAGAGTGTGACCGCCTTGGAACCCCCTCTCCATCTGGACCAGCAGTACGCCGTGCTACCTATCCACCCAGAAGCCCTCCCAGTGACTCCCTCTGGACAACACCTTGCTGGAGAAGACCCCAGCTGGTCATCAAAGATCAACTCACAGCCCAGGATAGGTAGCTATCATGCACCTTCCTTCCCCAAGCAAAGGACCTAGGACTCTGTCCCTACACACCTTGACTTCAATCCTTCCACCAAGCCTTTTCCTCTCCTGCTACCATTGTGTGGGTGTATATGTGAGTGTTTGTGCTTGTGTGTGTGTAGGAACCAATAACTTTGTGTGGCTGTATTTTGTGTTGTCTGTTTAATAAACCTGTTATTTTGAAACCCCAAGTTCGGTTTTTCTCTTACTGACCACCTTCTTGATTTTTCCCGGCTTTCTCTCCTGGTTCTTTCTGCCTCGTTTCCAGCCCCAATCTCCCAGCTTTGTCCCTCTCTGTTTCCTGGCTGTCTCCTCCTTGTCAACACTTATCTGCCTCCTGATCTCCCAGATTACTGCCTCTCTGTTTCCTGGCTGTTTCCTCCTTGCCACCAGGCTTTTTTCCCTTGCTTCTACCATGGCACCAGGTGACCCCGAGTAACTCCAGGGGCCACAGTAACCTTAAGTAACCCCAAATAACCCTGAGGTATATTAACCCCAAGTAACACTAGGGGCCACTTAACCTCAAGCAACCCCAAGCCCCAGTGACCTCAAGTAACCCTTGCACCACTTGACCTTAAGTAACCACAAGCAACAAGTTACCCAAATGTCCCCTAGTGTTAACACACAGCCACAAAAGTGTGTGTTTGTGTGTGTGTGTGTGTGTGTGTGTGTGTGTGTGTGTGTGTGTGAACTCATACTGATATTTGTGTAGTTTGTATATGTGTATATAATTGTGTATCATGCCCTCCTGTCTAACCGCGCAATATTGGGATCCTGAGTGTTGATCTGGTGCGTGTCAACACCAGTATATGTTTTATCTCCCATTTCAATCAGTGTAATGCCTAAATCAGTATTCTATGAGTAGTTTATTGAAACATAGTTTAACATAAGAGAAATTTTACTAAAATAGTGTTCACTTCATTGATAAAATACAATGGCCAAAATGAATGGCTAATGTAATTTGATAAGACTGGGATAATATAAAGCAGCATGTACATTTGCACCAGCAACAACTAATAATTACAAGGACACACTGATTAATATTCACACATTATTAAGCAATTTTTTTCACAGGATTTGTCATTCCATTTGCCATCTGAATATACTTCTACACAGTCCTTCTCTCCTCCAGAATCATTTGGTTCTCTTGTGCTCCAGTTCGTGTATCGTATTGCTTCACCACTTAAGTACATAAATGTACCTTCTGTCAGCCTATCATTTATTCCTAGGAATGGTCTTTTGTTTTGCCTCTCTGCTATTTGTTGTAGGGCACTGTTTTCTTCAGAATTTCTTGGAGAAGCTAAAAGGCCAGCAGATCTGGAGCATGCAGCTTGTGAAACTTCAAAGTTGCCTTCAGAGCCATCAGTTCTGAATATTTTTTCACCAATAATCATGCCACTTGGGTAGAATAGAACTAGGAGGACACAGAAGCACAGCACATCCAAATTACTTTCATAACAAAATAACAGTGGCAGCTTCTAGGCATCCTCTTAGGAATGTCGGATTGACTCTTAATTTTGCTGATTCACTCTGATGTCTGATCAGCTGAATCGCATTAGCTTCAAACCAAGACCTGAAAAGGGTTTCAGTGTTTTGTTGAAACTACAGGGGAAAATCCTGAGAAAAGGTATGCTCATGAGATCTCAGGTTTGGGTGTATGCTTTATTATTGCTATTCAGTACCTGGATGGTAATTTTGGGTCTAGCCTTGAGGAAGGGATGGTATAGTAAGGGACACTATCCAGGACTAGCGGTGCTCTTCAGGCTTCCTTATCCCTGGGTATGGTGATTTTATCCTGGGTATGCTACTTAAAAGTCACCACCCTCTTTGTACTTGCTTGGTTACTCTGGATAGCAATAAGATGGAAAATGGTTAAGGCTCTGCCCCTTCCTCTGCCTATTTCCATTCTCTCTCTTCCCACCAGCTCCAGGAAAGCAGCAATCTGAGAAGTATCCTGTTGTCTGGGTGTATGCTCTGAGTCGCAATCTAGTCATATATTAAAAATAAAGGAGGTGTCTGAGGCATTACTTATCTCCATATGATCTCCCTAACAACAGTAGTATTCTACTTAGGTGTCACTGTATCTGTTGGAGTTTGCAGAATTATCCCATACTTTCCATATAAATGGATGGGATACAGAAGCATCTAACAACCCATATAAGGGACCTGAGCATCTGGATCCAAAATTCACTTCTCTGCATCAGCCTGTGAAATGGAATAATAGGAATGCAGAGACCTGAGATGAACCTGCTTACCTTTTTGGGTTTTGTTGCTGAGAGCTTTCAGAGCCTTCAGTTGTGCTTGCAAATCACTTATGTGAGTTTTAAGAAGATCCATTTCTGCATGAAAACATAATTATGTTATGCCTACATAAATGTACATAAAAATTAGGATTTGTTAAAATATGGAGTTCAAGAAAGACAAAATTCCAGAGAAATCACTCAATAAAACAGTAGGGAAACATCAGCAAAGATAGAATCCAAATGTCAAGTTACCTGAGAAGGGCATTTAGTTCAACTATAAAGTGATACTTACAGCCAAAGCTCTGCTCTTAGTGGGCATGTCTACATGTGAATTTAAGTGGGCTTAAGTGTAGCACTTCACCACAGTGCCTGCAGAGACAGATCTGGGGCTGAGAAGCATCAGGGAGTAGGTTCTGGCAGGCCAGCAGTCCTGGGGGAAATCTCAGGGCTGGGCAAGGGATGCAGCAGGCTGCAGCCCTTTGCAACATGCACCCATGGCCAAGAAGCAGCTCCAGCTAGGGGACAGGACAGGCTCTGTCCAGGGTTGGCACATGGGGCCTGGTGGGCTCCCGTAGGCAGCACGGGCTCCTTCAGGCTCCCTGTGCTGTGTGCTCCAAGGCATGAAATGGCTGGTGGCTTTTATAGCCTGCAGCTAGGAACTGCCAGAGAGCAGCCCAGCCATGGAGGAGGAGAGGAAGCCATCCAGGAGCCCTGGGGCTGGGCTCTGGCTGTCCCCCTAGTGGCTGGACAGACCCAGGACTAAAGTCCCTAATATTAATGTGCATTAACATGTCTACACATGTGTTAATATGCTTTAACTAATCCTGCTTAAATTTGATACTTGCTTTATGCAGGTATCAAGTTTAGGCAGGAATAGCCTAAATTTACCATTTTAAGGCACATTAAGGGTGCACATATATAGATGCACACCCTTAAGGCATCTTAAAATCAGGCTAATGCCCACATGTAGATGCACCCACTACATTGAAAACTACCCACAGATTTTCAGTTATACCCATGGAAATGCTGGACTTTAACTTTGAATTAAGAAGGAGAAAATGATCCCTGTTAGCAGTTTTAATAATACATTAAAACTGACCAGTATTAAGTACTGATGGTGGAACTCCAAGCTTTATTTAACACACTGTGCTTGTAGTATTTGTCTGTCCCATTGGGATATTTCCATTTGAAGTCCAGGTCCATCAAACTCACTCTTGCAGGTGACTGTTAAGGGCCTTATTTACTTCCAAACTTTCTGGATTGTTGTATTTCCACACCTCTGAGTATTTGTTTTAATATATACCATCTATTTCTCTTTAGCCATGGGAATCAATTTCCAATAGAGGCAAGTCCTACATATCTCTTTTTCCCACAAGCAGTCAAACTCACCTAGCACATGTGTGAAGTGTTATTGCATTCAGAATTCAATAAAGGCCTTTGTTTATTCTGTTGCAGAGATTCTTTATATAACCTCCTGTTTCCCTTTAGAAAATATCTCCCTTATCTTGGCTTCTACTAAGACTCTCTGGTCCTCTTTCATCTATTGAACCTTTGTCACCTTTTGGTCCAGGATGTCCAGCTTTTGCTGGGGGGCCCTGTAACCCTTGTAAACCAAGGGGTGAAGTGGAAAGACAAAAAGATGAGTGAATAATTTAATTTTTCTCGTGTTGATACCATTTACAGCTGTTCTTACTTAATTGGAGATGAGTACAAATTATAGCATTCAAATGAAAATCCTGAACTTTAGGAAAAATTCAGATCTTGATACAGATTCCAGATGCAGACAAATTGGTCATCTTGGACTCTCTAAACCCTTGCTAATAGTTCAGAAGTTTGGATTTGTGTTACTCTTACATAGTTATACATAAAAATAGGGATTTTTTTTAAAATGTTGAGTTTTTGGTACTTGCTATGTAATGCAGTTGGTCTGAACATGTTGGAAATATAGGGAAAGTAAAATTTCTGTCTATATGTTGACTACTATGTAAGTTTTGAACCCTATATCTACAAATTGAAGAGACTGGATTCTGTGCTAAGCAACACACAAGTTCTATTTGGTTTTTGAACCATTAGATACTTTACCATATGAAATTATAAATGTATCTAGTTTATATAATTGTAGTAAATCTGAATTTATTGAGCATCTGATATAAGGGGATAATCATCTACTCATACATAAATAATTACATACATCCAGTATTTACTAATTTACTTAGTAGGATGGGAACATTTTGGCCACTGTGACTTCTGGCTAAGCATAGTCTGGGGAGTTACTATTGTTTTACCTTGGTTTCCCTTTTCTCCTTTTGGACCTTCTTTCCCATCTCTGCCTGGTAAGTCATTGCCCCCAGGAATTCCACAGGGGATGACTGAGCATGAATTTACTCTCTCCTCACATATTCATTCACTGGAGCTGAATATCCTGGTCATTGACATTCCCAGGAGGAGAATTTGAAAAGCAAGAGAAAGATGCATAGCCCAAGGACTTCACCTGGGAATAACAATGAGTAAGTTAGGTACTACCCTAAAGAACATGACATATTTAAAAAGGCCCCATCACTGGCAACACCTCTACACTTGGCTAAATGTCAGGGAGGGATTAGGGAGCCCAAAGACTCAGGGAATTAGAGTTTTATGACAGTACAGCAGTTCAGTTCTATATCTGGTAGAAAAATAATGTATCAAATAATATTTATGGATGCTAATGTTCCATGTAACTTAAGGGCTATTAACCAATAAGTAGGGCTGTGCAAAGCTTTAGTAGCCAATTCTATTTGAAGGAGATTTGGACTGATTCGGCAGCTGGATCTCCAAATCTGAATTGAATCGGGAGACCCATTAAAATGTCCAAATTGAATGGAAGCCTCTGAATCAATTTGGAAAGATTTGGAGATTCAGAAGACTTGCAGCAAACAGAAACTGAGAGGAGGGAGGGGGTGGGGTGATATTCCATATATGGAAAAGGCTGAGGGGGGGTGGGAAAGACTGCTCTGATACTGACATCTGTAGCTGGCCAGTGACAGGGATCCTTTCCTACTTACCCTTGCCTACAATCCCTTATCCCTATCCATTCCTTTCAACTTATTCTTCCCCAAAAATCTTATTTTTTCTTGTTAGTCTGTCTTGCTTCTTTCCCCCACAACAAGAAATTTGTGTTTTCCCTGACAGTGTGTCATCACTGTGCAGGAAGGCACAATATATATTACACACACGTACATTTTACAGCACACCAAACATTATGAAGCATACTGGAAAGGCAGGTGCCAGATCCTCTGGCAGGAGAGGGAGAGAGGGCAGAGGGAGAGCTACAAGTTCCCCCCACCCCAAACCTAGACACACCCTCTTTCCTGGCATGATGAGTCTTCTGCTACTAGTGGGAGCAAGGATGTGGTAGCAGCGCCTGCACCACCACCACTAACCCCACTAACCAGGAGCAGCATGACATTCTCCACCCCAATTTCAGTTCCCAGCATGAGCCTTCCAGTGCCAGAGGAGGAGCTGGATCTGGAAGCAGAGGGGCTGAGGGCTATAGCAAAGGAAATTGTGGGGAAGGAGGAGGAATCTGAGTTTGTGCTCCACACCCATTAATGTTCCCCTAGAGTCAGGTCTCCTTCTCTAGAAAGCACTTCAGAGGAGATGGTAGGGGTAGGTGGCTCAGCTCCTGCTGTTGTCATGCCTCTGCCTGGTGAGGAGAGGGATAAGGCAGGATCCCCACCCTCAACCCAGAAGCGGGTAGGTAGTGTAGTGTGGGATCATTTTGAGGTGGCAGATGATCCCAGGTATGCTACCTGTCAGCACTGCCAAAGTCAGATCAGCCAGGGCAAAGACGTAAAACAATTTGCCACCATGGTGATGCTGCTTCATCTCAGGAAGCAGCACCCCCCCTTGCCCTTGTTCCTCCCCAGCCTGGCACCAGTGGGAGCATGCCCAAAAAGAAGTCTCCCTCACTTCAAAGCCCTCATCCCCAAGAAGCAGAGGCAGGCCACCCTGGACTAGTTGGGGAAAGGTGGAGACAAAGGGGACACATTCTGAAGGCAAGCGAGGTCACCTAGAGCACTGGGGAGAGGTGCAGGCACTGGTGAAGCAGCTGAAGGAAGGCATCAAAAGAATGGCTGGATCCATTGCAGTCCTGTATAGTCCATGTACTGGACCACAATGGATGGGTCATTTTTGACCTGGAGGGATGTGGGCAGTGAGGTTTCCCAGGGCTCGGTCCTCGGGCCCACGCTGTTCAACCTCTTCATCAGTGACTTGGACAAGGGGGTGAAAAGCACCTTGTTCACATTTGAGGACAACACTAAGATGTGGGGAGAAGTGGGCACACCAGAGGAGAGGGACAGGCTGGAATCAGATCTGGACAAGTTACAGGGGTGGGTGGATGAGAACAGGATGGGTTTCAATACTGACAAGTGCAAGGTACTGCACCTGGGGAGGAAGAACCAGCAGCATACCTACAGGCTGGAGGACTCCCTTCTTGTCAGCACAGAGGAAGAAAATGCTCTTGGAGTTGTTATTGACTCCAAGATGAATATGGGCCGACAATGTGGGGACATGGTCAGGAAAGCTAACCGCACCTTGTCATGCATCAGAAGCAGGTCCAAGAAGGTGATCCTCCCCTTCTATGCAACATTGGTCAGACGGCAGTTGGAGTACTGCATCCAGTTCTGGGTGCTGCACTTCAGGAGGGATGTGGACAGTGTTGAGAGGGTCCAGAGGAGGGCCACTCGCATGATCAGGGGGCAGCAAGGCAGGCCCTACGAGGAGAGGCTACGGGACCTGAATCTGTTCAGCTTCCACAAGAGAAGTCTGAGAGGGGATCTGGTGGCTGTCTACAAACTGAACAAAGGGGATTGGCAGGCAATGGAAGAGTCCCTATTCCTCCCAGCACTACCAGGAGTAACGAGGAATAATGGCCATAAATTGATGGAGAGTGTTTCAGGCTAGATATCAGGAGGCACTACTTCACAGTCAGGGTGGCTAGGATCTGGAACCAACTTCCAAAGGAAGTGGTGCTCACTCCTACCTTGGGGGCCTTTAAGAAGAGG